CATTGAATGAGTTTAAATAGCTTGCTGTGCCAAGAACTGCGGCTTACTGTATCTGGCTGTGTCACGTTGTCGCTGTGAACATGTCTGCGTGCTCCACTGTTGTCCGGATGAGTGTTCCGCTTATTGAACTGATCTTATTGTAAGCACATTTTGAATGTATTTATTGTGTTACATTTGGTCGACTTCCGATCAGTACTGGATGGAAACTATCCTGCGATTCAGGAACACTCTCCCGATCAGGCGTGTGAGCCAAGCCCTTGCCATCTGGGCAGCACGTACGCCTAACACAATCAAAATACACGAGAATACAAATTCAGATCTGTACATAAACTTCCTGATAAAATCAAGACAGATAAACATTAAAGTAACCGGCTGGTCTCCATTGATCTTGTGATAGCATTAATTTGGTATAGATTTGTCAGCATCAAGAGATACATTTGTCAATATCACACCGGAGTACTTCTGTGGGCATTTCCTGGTATGCATTTTAAGTTGCGTTGGCCTAGATGTCAAGATACATTTACATATCAGGAGTATTTGAGACTGGAACACATAATTACTATACTGGCAGGAAAGGGTAAATACATTGAAAACATAAGAATGTGAACACACATAAACACACACATATACAGACATTTCCAAATGCACACATATGTATATAAACATGTATTCTCATACACACAAACATCGTCATTATCTACATCTTGTACCATGCAGATCAGCCTAGGCTGTCACGTTGTGCCATTCAAAACGATCACTAGAATCACGGATCAGGTCAATGTTATTTTCTTCTCCCTCCCACTCCCGCATCTTATAGCTAGTCCATCCATATGTGTATGTCTTGCACTTCTCGATGCTCACTTTCCATCAATTTTGCCAGTCGCCACCACGTTATCTAGTACCTTGCTTCTCATACAATGTCAGGACAAGAAGAAAAGAAAACCTCGGCTGTTTGCGTCTAATATTTCAAATAGTTTAAACTTGTCAATCTCTCTTTACTTATATAAATATAAAAAATTAGTCTTGTTTTCTTCTTAATCGCATCTCCTCCTGGTGTGCAGATTCTAATTCTCATGTCAACCCTTTGAAGGCCTCAGTAACGTAGTTCTCCTTGAACACGCATATAGTTAAAGCAGACTTACCAGCAGTGGAAAGCAGCGAGGAAAATTTGATGAAAACAAATCTGATGACATACCTCGGAGTGAGGTTTGATCGCAGGCTATCCTTCAAAGAACATGTTGACCATGTAATAAAAAAGCACGCAAAGGCTTGTCAGCAATGCGGGTCCTGGCCGCCGCTAACACTGAGCAGAGACTGCTTCTGCTTCTGTTCCGGGGACTTGTACTTTCTCCCATCGAATATGCTCTTGCCATCCTCACTGTAAGCCATATTCAGATTGAAAAACTTGAGAAGGTGAAAAATAAAGCAATAGGCATTATTCTAGGATGCACTGGAGACAGCTCTTGTGTAGCAATGAGTTACCATCTCGACTTCCCTATCATGAACTACTGGATCAAGATCTGTATGCCCATGCATACCTCAAGATACGCTCAGATCTGAAGCACCCTTTGCACGACATGCTCTTCAAGAAAAATAGCAATAGGCTTAAAAGGGGCAAATCATGTCTGGGTAGGGCAAAGGATGACATCATGCAGGTTTGCAGCCTTACAGACATCCATCCAGGTGAGGAGTGAATACCAGCGTCTAAAGAACCCAATCTCACATCCTCCTGTGTCGTGACGCTCGATAGGAATTGTCGGGAGCAGAATACAGCTGCCGTCAATGGCGAGGTATGCGCGTTTATCAGTGACAAGTCAGATGAGACAGATGTTGTGATAGTCACAGACGGGTCCGTTATACGGAGACATAAAAGTGCATGGGTATTTACAGCTCTCTCTTCAGGCAGAACAGTCCAAGAAGCCAGCAGGGCATTCTCCATGACCACCAGCAGCATGACCATGGAGGTGATGTCGGTGACACATGTTTTCATGTGACTGGGATAACAGGACTATTCCCGCGTGTGTGTGCTAAGTGATTCTTTGAGCATGACTTGACGGGTCGAGGCAGGCTGGCTATGCAGACAGTTGCTTGAGTCGTTGCAAAATTCTCCTGTGTGTGCAGTTACTTTCATATTCGTCCCAGAGCATGCAGGCTTGTTGGTAATGAGAGAGCTGATAGACTCGCAGGTGCTGCATTAATTGAAGATGGCCAGCCCGTGGATCACGCAGACATTGTCATTGCCCTTAGAGAGAACGTGTCCACACTTTCTGAACGTGTCCACATCATTGCTAAGAATTCGTGAATTGGGAGTAAAGATCGGCACAGCCAAGCAGGAAAAGCACACCGGACGCACACAAAGTCTTGCTAACCAACGTAGAACTGGTACTATTAACCGCACGATGCTAATGAATGTGTTGAGAGGGGAATCTGAGCGCCTATGGATGTGTCCGGAGTGCTGTAAAGATAATCTAACTCATAACTCAAACACTCCTTTAGTGTTGGATTGGAGTATCACTCGGGGACACGTTTGTTTATCAACTCCAAGGCTTGTGTTAGAATGTGCCTTCATAGATAATTGACTTGAGTGACTAATACGAAGAAGAACTTCCCAAGGGAGCATTCACAGCAGGGGTAAACCGTAATCAGTAGAAGGATCCTTCGTCGACGATTCTTTCGGCCCATTACTTCCTAGACAATCTCGAAAGGCGGGCCAGTCCTGGCCTTGACTCCAGGTCTCGATCTTCTCCTGCTGCACTTTATCGGACTCGACAGGGACAAAACAATATGGTGACTTTGAAAGAGGTGTTATGTGATTTGATTTTATATTGTCTCTGCGGTAGCAGATTAGATCAGTCGACTACCTTAACGACCAGAGTGACCTGTTAACGGCTTGTTAAATGTTAGACTGTGACATTTGGCAGAAATACACTGACAGACATTTATGTGACACTTTGGCTTTAAGGTATTAAAATCTCCTCTCCACTAGAGACTCAGACCTGTCTACTGAGGCCCATCCCCCACGACGTTCAGCTGCGTCCAATGACAACTCGAAGCTCTTTCAGCAGTTTCGACCAGATGTTTTAGTGACCATTTAAGATCGTATGCCCTCAAGCCCAGCTGCTTTAGCGCATTGTATGTGGAAGTGATGAGACCTCTTGCGCCTACCTCGATGGCGAAGATCTTAACTGTGTACGCTTCATCTCTCGTCAGACCGGCCACTAGCTCACCGTAATTTTCAAGCTCTTACAGGTGATTTTTCTCCATTGACTCATACGACACGGTCAGCTCTATCAGGATGAGCTGGGGTTTTTCCGTAGAGTGCAGAACTATGACAGATCTTAGGCCGGATTGACTCTAGGTACTCTCCGAGTATGTAATGACTTTAACTAATGTCCTGGGGGAGAAACCCGTAGCGATGAGATTTTTACCACATCCCTCATCAGTGCTGGTGGGTCAATACAATTATGTGTCTAGTATCACATGTTTGATGTGTCTATGGCACAAAAATGACCACTGACTTCATTTGCCTGTCATTAGTTTTTGTGCCGTGACCTATACTTCAGTAATACTAGATTTTGTTGACTACTATATCAAGTAGACAGTGCAGCACTTCCTCTCATAATCCGCGCAGCTAGGTGTTGGTAGTCATATCTATCCACAACCTTCTGACTCGTGTACTTTCAAGCAATAGTGACAAAGATGATCTTCCATGTCATAATGTCAAACTGTCTAGAACAGTGGTTCTTACACTTGCTAATGCCGCGACCCTTTAATACTGTTCCTCATGTCGTGGTGACCCCCCACCCCCCCCCCTCCCCCCTTTTACCCCCCAAACGATAAGATTATTTTCTTTGTTACTTCATAGCTTCAGTGAATTTGTGTTTTCCGATTGTCTTAGGCGACCCCTATGAAATGCTAATTCGACCCATAAAAGGGTGGCGACCTATAGGTTGATAACCACTGGTCTAGAATCGTGTCCTCTCAAGCATTCAAATCAAAATAACAAAGTAACGATGTTCAAATTTATTTTTGCCAGCCTATTGTGTTTTTATCTTATATACTTCTGAGAGTTCAGCAACTGTCGCCACCTGAGCAGTTGTGATCAATAGGACAGTTTGGAAGCTACCTAAACAAACAGTACACTTCTGATAATCAATTCCCCAAATGAACAATGCTCACAGTCCGCATAGAAATCAGAATGACCTAGCCAGTTTCATTAGTATGATTGTATGATATTCACCAGTAGTCATTGTCAGAGAGGTCGCAAACAGATTTTATGATTATTTATTGCATGAAAATTGGCCAGAATTTTCTGGCATTTATACATAAGGACTGAACTCATACAAATAGACAGGAATTCACACCAAGACCACATCGAAGCTGACAGAACGCATACATGCACAGATAGGCTAGTTGCCTATATTGTATGAAAGGAGCAGAATGGAAGGGCAGGATGTTAGACGGGCCTGCGTGCCCGATTCCTAACCCTTTGAAAATAAAGTTTGTTCGTTTGTTCGTTCCTTTACTGGATATTGCAAAACAAATCTCAGCATTTGTTCTGTTTTCAGACAGCCCACGTTATTTCATAATTACATCAACCTTCTATCTAGCAGCTTGACAGCCACACGCGCAAACATAAACACATATATACACCCATACATACACTTATGATAATTACGTTAACATAATCGAGTGGGTTGGGGGGCCCTTCTAGGGTGGGGGTGAGGAGAGTTACACACCCCCCTCCCCACCATGCCTTTCTACGTCGGAATACATCTGTCCGATAGGATATGAGCCAACAGTCTGTACGCAAGTAAGTCAGATCCTGAAACGGATGTAGACAACAATCTCAGCCAAATTCTTCAAATGGACGAACCACCACGACTTTCCGCTGAAATTTACAACCGGTAAACTCAAACAAACAAACAAGGAAACAATCACACAAATATTGAACAGCAAACATAACGTTAATCATTTGTAATACAATACTGTAGACTCACCTACAGTCAGCAGCGCCCCCTGTCCCAGTAGAACCGAATCCCCACCAAGATCCGGGCACTGAAAGGCTTGTGGGACTCGAGGCCGATGTGTTGTAATTGGGAGAACCAAATTCCGGGATGGCTAAGAACTCAGACCTTGGGCTGGGAGACCTATGCTTCTCGCCTGGACTGAGATTTCCCGTTAATGACGAGGCCATGATCCCAATCTGAGATGGTCTTACGGCTAATTTACGCGCACAGAGTTCTGTAAAGTGGATTGAGAAAAGGGATTAGGTAAAGAATTATATTACATTAAATTATTGTGTATGATACATTTTATTTCGTATACATCAAAAAATGTATGTAAAGGAGATAATCCATTTAGAAACGGCGCAGAGTATTTAATATTAGTTTCTAAGACAATTTTTACAAAGATCTGTCACTCCCGTATGGGTTGCGGTGCTGCATTCTGGTGCAAGAAAGAATAGATCCACTAACTTCTTAAAAAGCGACTCTTACAAGGCGACTTATTAATAGTTCATGTAAAGTCGGAGTGTATCTTCTTGAGAAGTGAGGCACCAACAGCCTGCACACACATAAGGCAGATTGTAAAATGAATGTGCACACAGACAACTCAAGTTTTGGAACAAGCCCGATGACCATGAGTAGAGGAAGAACAGAACTGTCCTTCCCATTTTACAGCCGCTGAAAGCAAATAAGAAGAAGAAGAAAGCTAAGTCGGTACTGGATGTTTCTTATGTTGAATATTACAGCTGCAAATAAAACCTTTTAGAGCTTATCTGGGTCAGGTCCAGGGGCTGCGTGGTCTCGAAGCATGGTGTCGGAGAGAGTGTTAGCGGTTCCGGGTTCAATCCCCAGGTAATATCTGGAATTGTGTTTCTAGTTGACTCTGGGTAGTGTGATCGGACGCTCGTGTGCATTGTTGCGCACGTAAAAAATCCCTTTGCAGTTGGAAATCGAAAAGAGTAGCCTAGCTGCGCTACCTGGGTAAAATTTGGAGCTGAAAATCTACCTAAAGTATATCAGGATACTCGCTGGCGTTACAGAGCCTGTGCACTGTTCTGAGCTTTTGCGGACTCAGACTTGAGTTAGAAGAAGAACTGAGCACCTATGGATTACTACCCGTGCAGCATCTAAGTTTGGGAAAACCCTAAAACGAAAACACACGCACACACACTTACAGCCCAATCACGCACACATACACACACTAAAGCCGTTATAATAGCATTATGAGCCACTGGGCAAACCAATGTGCTTGAGTCCCTATGCCAACCACGCACATAAATAAAATTGGTCTTTATCGCACGTTTCTTTATACACCCAGATTAGAATCGGCCCCAATGCTCGTGGGGACGTCCGGGCAAATTCCCAGCAGGCCCATGTGATACACAACAAAAACATTGAGACTATACATTTTTTTTAGCAGACTGGTGTTCTTATCTACAAGAAAAAATAATTGCGTGTTATACTAAGTTTGTGTTGCTGTTACCAGTGCCCTAACTATGTCTTCCTTAGAAGTTGAACAGGGTGTGCGGGATCTACCCTTTTCGTGTACCATCCATGCTGAATTTTTTTATCTTTGGGTGGTAAACCATTAGGTAGCATTCCGGAGGGGGCAACCTGATCGATTAATAGAGAGCACAGAATCCTTGGGAATTCTGTGGATTTTCAGATATGCTGGCACTAGTGAACAAATACCAGTGTTATCTAATACAGAGAAGGAAACCATGTATCAATTGTGGGTTGCAAATATAGTAACAGTAGTAGTATAAGTAGCTGTAGTAAAAGTAAAAAATGGTAACGTCGGGAGATGTGAACCAGCTTCAATGCACACGGTTATAAACCAACAGTGATCTGCCACCAATAGGGACAGTTAATTAAAACCTGTCCACCTGTGTCGCCGTCCGCACGTAACTACATAGCTACAGCGACGTTCCTCCATTTGCCCCAGAGTCTCAACTCTGGTACCCATTTCCGAAAAGCTGGGTGAACCCCGGGAACCGCCCGGTTTCGAACACCAGCCGTGGGCTGCAGGGAGTCGCAGCTGGGTTTGGAAGCGAGTCTCCTATCGACTGCGCTAACGCGGCCCTCTAAAGTAGCTATAGTAATAGCAGTTATAGTAGTTGTAGTAGTGGTAGTGAATTACTTATTTAGTATCTGTAATCTACTACTACTGCGATTAGTAGTGGTGTTGGTGATAGTTGCGGAGGAAGTATCAGTTTAATCAACCATATACTATATATATATATATATAAATCAATGTTTGTGTGTTTGTTTGCCCCCTATAGACTCGGAAACTACTGAACCGATTTAGCTGAAATTTTCAGGATATGTTAGTTTTGATACCGGATTTTGAACCATCGTGGTTTGAAATTCAACCTGTCACTGTTAGAGGTAGGTGATCACAATTTATGCCATAATAATCGCAACTAATATTTATAACTTTAGTGATTTCTAATTATAGCCACGTTGGTAATTGGGCATGCGCCGTAGTTACCATTCGCCGGCGAGTTACGTGCAGCCAACGCCTTCTCTAATACATAGAGTAGGTCGTGGTACAGCAAACAAGACTATCTCTATATTTGCCACAATAACCATATTAAACACGATTTCTATTTTCTGTTTTTTTTTCAAACAACCTTCGATTGGGGGAAGAAGGGGGGGGGGGGGGCAATCAAGGACTATCTCGACGTCGGCGCAGACAGTGACTGCGACATTAACTTCATTATCCGTGTTAGACACGTGCGATTTCTATTGTTGTGCCGTTTCATTAATACATCTGGAGTATCTGTCTACGAGAAAACAATTGCCTACGGTTTTGAATTGTGTTTTAATCGCGACACAGTAGTTGGGACACACATCTCTAATAGTTAAGTTCTCTTTTCGTTGATCCAATAAGTGTCTGCTTGGTCGAATGGTTAAAACACTGGGTTCCTGTGCGGGAGACCTGGGTTCGAATCCGCAGCAGTTACATTTTTTTTTTTTTTACCCCGGACTAAAATAATATCCTCATCTGCTCTGTCGTGGTGACAGCACTAGCCATGTTGCCTTAATATTTAGAAAAAAAAAAAAAAAAGTAAATGGGTAAACCATTTGATAATTAAATTTGACTATTTCGCATACTTATGATTGCATTTTTAAACTTTCCGATTGCATGGTTACGCTGAAATTTCATAGATTTTCATTTATTTTCATTTAGATTTAGTTATTTCATCTGCGTTGGAATTTTAAGCTGTGCTGTTTACCATGGCGTTCATTTCCTAATTATGGTGTTTTTTTTCCTGTGTTCATTTGCTTTTCAAGTTTTTTTTTTTTCTCACAACTACTTCAATGAGGGAAAGAGTTGTCGGTGAATTTGGAGGGGGGGGGGGGGGGGGGGGGGGCAAACTATTAACTGAGAGAGCTTTAAGTCACAGTAACTGCTTTACCCACTTAAAGTAGCAGCAGCAGTAATAGTTGTGGTTGGGCTGTTACACCATAGTGCTCTCATGTGAAGACCGCCGGTAAGGTGATGGCGTTCTTCTGTCGGCAAGTGAAATTATACATCCTAACCTGACCAGTCTGTGGCGACAGCACTAGCCATGCGGAACCAAATCTTCTGGCTCACGATTCTCTGTCTACTCCGATGGTAACACAGATAGCAGTGACATTATTTTAGTAGTTGTACTGGTACTTGAAGGATGATGTGGTAAATATTACACTAGCCCCATTTACTACCTATTACAATTCCTGCTCCCTATTTTAGTCCAGATGGACAGGGATGTCAATGTCAGTTACAGCAACAACAAAATATCGCCAGGTAGTGATTTTTAAATCCTTTGAAGAGGGAGAGAGCAGTAGTCGGTGGAAGAGGGGAGGGGGTAATGACTTAAATTTAAGAGAACTTAAAGAGCTTTACACGTGATTTTCAAGTTCTTATTACCTAATTTGTTTATATTTTACTAACGCTACCTCCGCTTTTCTATTTTTTACGACTTACTTTGTTATTCACAAGTACAGTTGTAGCTTTACTTCCGTCCCCTATAAAAATACAAACAGCTTTAGCATGTGATAACCAAATAACCATTTTTGTTACTGTGCTAATAACACCATTTAAACGACCACTAATATAAAGACACAATTATAAGGTGCGTGTTCTAAAGTTGGAAAACCAGACCATCTCTATATCTGTGCAGAGAATGATTGCGACATTAACTATATTAGACACGTGCGATTTCCATTGTCTTTCTTTTCCAAAAACCTTTGATGAGGGAGAGAGTAGTAGGTGGATTTAGTTGTGGGGGGGGGGGGCGGGGGCAGATCAAAGACTATCTCTATATATGAGCAGACAATGATTGTATTAGACACCTGCGATTTCTATTTTCTTTCATTTCCATTTAGACAAACTATGCCACAGCAACGCGTGGACGGGTACAGCTAGTATATATATATATATATATATATATATATATATATATATATATATATATATATATATATATATATATATATATAGTCGTTTCTTTTATTAGATTTTACAGCAAAATGTGTCTGCTCCTTTTGGCTTTTTAGTTTTCTTTAGATTAGGTATTATTCTAGTATAATTTGAGTATATTTGTCAAACAATTATAGTAATAGCAATGTCTAATCTATTTAAATTTGATCGGAGTTGTCATTATCTTATCCCAGCACATTAAGTAATACCACATATAAACACTTCTGTTATTGTGGTTTATTGTTTTATCCTTCCCTGCTTTTTTCACATGATTCTTTACCTTCGACCTTTTGATTATGTGACAAGTATCCTTTATCTTGCTTCTAGCGTCTCCACTTATCTACGCTTTTTTCTCCTCTTTGAAGATACAAGTGTCGATCAATACATGTTAATGCTTTTCGCATTGAATTACATTAAGGTCGCGAGTTCGCGTCCAAACGGAACCGCTCTTTTTTTTTTTTTTTTTTTTAAATCACCTTAACTCACAGGTCGACTCAGCTTTAAGAGGGTATCAGGTGCTGTCAGGGAAGTAAAGGCGGCCGTCATGATGCTGCCCACATCACCCGGCAAGTGCCGAGTGGTCTGCAAAATACAGGTCTAGCCCTCTATGTCCAATACGCCCGAAAGCGTGGAAAAAGGCCCTTTACTTTCACTTTACATTTTAATACTGCTGGGTCCCATAAAATATCTAGACGAGAAAATTGAACCTATAAAAGAAATGAA